CAACAAAATACATACCCCTTGTAAATTATTATGTACATGCATATAAGTATTTGGCATTCCGAGTCGAATTAATTGGATTTTTACCACCTGGAGGTGTTCTGGGACATGTTTTTATGTATTATCCAAGCATTGGGTTAAAGAAAACATGTGGCGAGCATGACGTATTCTCAGAACATTTCGCACACAGCTATCGAAACTTAGACGATTGTAATGAAATGCTACTGCTCAATTTTTGCCATATCGAGGGATCAAATCCGGAAAAAATAAAATGTTCGAAAAAATATATGATTTAAAAAAATTAGAAATATGTAGTAAATTGGATACGTAATCAAATCATTCTTGAATACCTATTTGAACTCAACAAGGTTTGTACCCTTAATATGATCTCAACTGAACACCAACGAAATATTTTCCAGGTACGTTAATATTGAGTTTATTGTTGTTATTTTCAACTCCAACAATAACAACATCAACAAACTCCTTGCAGTGTATTATCAAAAAACATTTAAGGTTTACGCACTTCTTTTCTGGCAATTATTGTCACTGAGCGCTGGCTTTTGAAGGGATTCATGGCTAGCTTGTGTTTTTATATTATAATATAGACATTATCAGTACAAATTCACTGCATATACGTACTCAGTACAAATTCTTGCATATATTTTCAATTTTTATTTCCTAATTTACGAGACACTGCTAAGTGGTCGGTACCAAATTTATTATATTTGTAACATGAGTTGAAAATTTCTCTGCCGGAAGAATCGATATTACTTATTTCCAATGAGCCCAGAAATGGAAAGTAAACTATGCAGCATCCGGCCATGTGAGAGGTGTCTATGATTTTGATAGATAATCCGGAACACTGGAAAATTGAAAAGCAATGAAACAATTTCCAAATTGAGATCCACGCAAATATTTGATTTATTATGCAACCTGTTCTCATACTGCGCGTATCGACTGAATTCTCGTACTGAGTGAGTCACAGCCTATGTCACAGCTGACGTCATTCGGCAGAGAGGTTCTCATGATCAGACCGGTGTCATTAAATATTTAGTATTATCATTCTGCTGTATAGAACAACAACTTTTTGATATTCTTAAGTATGTAAATATTGTTGAAATGATTATCCATACTATGATATTGTAGATGAACGATCCTATACTATGATATTGTAGTATTCGTGAACACTTTTTGTTAAAATATTTAATTTATTGTAATGGTATTTAAGAGTATTTGTTCTTAAAACGTGTGCGAGCTCATTTTTAGAACATACTTTTTTGTGGTTTTGTTCAACAACATTTTTGCTGTTGCAGACCACAAGTCAATATTGTGGTACTTTCGAATAGAAACCAATATTGTTTTGTCTAACGATTTATTCATGTATACAGAAGATTAAATTTTGATGCCACGATCGGGTACGGGGTTCCGAATATCTTGATGTACAAAAATACGTATTTAGAAATAAGTGCGTGTATCAAAAACAGCGTTTGCATATCCGCAAAATAGTGTACTAAACTTTTATTCGTAAAAGTCAGTATCGTTCATCACAATCTGTAAGAAAAAATATCTGATTACTTTATTAATCATTACCCACAATAAATAAAAATCTGTTATTTTGATGAATCTACATAAATATTGAACAATTCAAACATCCAACTCTCGTATTTACACTTAACAATCGGTTCAGGAAACACCGTGAATGTATACAGTTGCAATCATTTGAACTCTTATCTTTGTAATTACAACTACGTCGGAATTTCCGACATCGCTGTTTGCGGTCATGCCATGTTTTGTATGTCAATTCCATTAATATATGCAAAGTTTAATAATAAGGAAAAGTGAGTCCAAATATGAGGAAAACCATTATTTCTACTGATTAATAATGAAGACTGTGTGTACTGAACGTTGTATGTTTCACCCAATGGAAATAATTACTTAGCTTTGTGTGCCCTTTTAATTCTTCCCTTTTAATCATCTTATTTACATAATCTCCGTAGTTAAAATCCAGTAGAGTTCAAAAGTTTCCTGAACACTATCTTGAGATCTCTAATTTAAAATAATATTATGGAGAATTATTTTATTTGCTTATAATATCCCTTGAAGATTAATGTCTCGTGAATAGTTTAGCTTGTGAGGAACCCATTAAATATAAAATACATAATATTACAATAAATAATGTATACTATATCTTCTGGTCTCAGAAGAAAATACCCAAAGCCACTTCGAATTGAAAAAGAAATATTAATTAATTTGAGTCCTTTCACCGTCTAAAAGTGTATGCAATATTTCACAAACTTTATTTTATTACTAGACCATTTGTTTTTAAAGCTTAATACAAATTAAAGAGAGACAAACTAGAGGGCTGGGAAACGTGTAGAGATTATATAGCAATTTTTGAATAATTGTAAGATATGAATATCAACATATTTTTAAGCTCTTCATTTTACTACCACACCTTACTACTTTTACGTAGTAAAGGTAACCTATGTAATGACGGACGGGCGACGAAAATCAGCGATTTCTCGACAGAAAAGCTAGTGATGTCGGGCCCAGGTATCGAAAAACTGGATAAAGCTGGTTCCTTTATGTAGTAAATTACTTCTAATACCTTGCGTAGACAAGGCAAGAACTTGTAGGACCTTGATCGCGAAAAATCGATTGTCTGTTAAATGTCGTTGCGATCATTTGTTCGTCCGTCCATCGGTTCGTCCGTTCGTCGGTTCGTCCGTCCGTCGGTTCGTCCGTCCGTCGGTTCGTCCGTCCGTCGGTTCGTCCGTCCGTCAGTTCGTCCGTCGGTTCGTCCGTCCGTCGGTTCGTCCGTCCGTCGGTTCGTCCTCCCGTCGGTTTGTCCGTCTGTCGGTTCGTCCGTCTGTCGGCTCGTCCGTCCGTCGGTTCATCCGTCCGTTGGTTCGCCCGTCCGTTGGTTCGGCCTTCCTTCCGCCTGTTCGTCTATCTGTCCGTCCGTTCGTTCGTCCGTTCGCCCGTCCGTCCGTTCGTCCTTCAATACAAGCGCCAAAACCTTTCAGATGCTGTAAATGGCGCTTAAAGAAATGGCACAGCTCTCATTTACTTTGAAGCCTCCGGATTTTTGAAAATTCTATAAGTTAGAAATAATTCAAAAAACCCTATTTAAACGCGTTGAGCAAGCTGCGTATGGCCATCCGAGTGGTGGTGTAGCGGTGACGGACCTTGAGACGCTGCTCCTAGAACCTGAGTTCGAATTCTGGCCCTGAGAAAAAAAATGACTGGAAAAGCTTTCGCAGGTTCATGTAGTATAATGTTGCGTAGCCGTTACAAACAATGCGGGAATGTACGTGCCGTTGTAGCAGCACTAGTTAACTTTACGAAACGTCACGCTGAGTTAACGCTGTTTGAGTTTGATCATTCAAAATTAATCGTAAATTTTTTAGAATAATCAATGCAAGATATTTTAATCCTATATTAATGACGTCAGCATACGTAGATGTCGCTTACGGAACCAAAGTTTGTCCAAAAGGTTTTCATCTCTCAAGGTGTACACTCACCCTCAGGATATATGGCAGTTTTACCCATTCAGGCAAACATAAAATCGGGCGTCTTTGGGCAGATCCTAGACGGCATAACCGTCTTCAGAAAAACCTGTCGAACTCTAATTTCCTTAACGTTTTGCGTCAGAGGTTGCGTCTGTGATCGAAACCCTACTCCGGCACCTTCACGCAGGCAAAAGCGTACCTGCACCCGCTCCCGAGCAAAAGACAGCATTGGATGAAGCGGGGATGATGGGATGTCGCCATGTCACGTCATAGAGGTTTTACCAGTGAATTTCACCAGTGGATGTCTTAACCCCGTCGAATATCTGTGATTTGCCTAACATTCATGGGCAAATATCACTCGTGCAAAAGCATATAATTACATTATTTGCAACTTTCCACTATACAAGTATATTCATTGGGAAAAGTTATTTTCTAACCCTTAACATACCCTAGAAGTTTCTGTCATTTATTCCAAGACACCCGAAGAGTATTATTCGTAACGCGTACCAAACACCTTTGAGGGTGTGGCTTCTTTTGTGAAGCGTATGGGAGGAGCATCCCGTTCTAAACACACCATTCTCTTTTTGCCCATTAAAGAGTTGATGAGATGGTGAGTGGGTGCAAGGAGTTAAAGTAACGGCCAAAAGATGCCTGGCGATTGATGATGCCTTGTGCGAGAGGCGCAGTTGTACTCGAATAGCATTAACTGTCACCGATAGTAAACGCGTGGCGACAGCACGTTGAACATCGGAAGAGGTGATAGTTGAGGGGGCAGCTGTCAATGAAAACGTTAGCGCAGGTGCAGTGGAAGTATTTCTCTAAGAACTTCACTCATAATACGCTATTCACCACGGCGACTAGTGATGTAGCGGTCAGCTCCTCGCATTCGCTCGCTGGAACCGCGATTCTAAGCCCGCTCGTTCCATGCGAAGTTTACTACACATGTCGCGAGCTCAGAGAATATCACGGCTGTTGCGGTGCCCCGTTGGAGATAGGATACCTGCAAGGTGACGTGAGGTCAGCACTGGATCTCCTTCTTGAGTGGAATGAACACCGCTATTTCCCGCGATATAATGTGTAGTGTGGTGGACCAAGTGGTTTCGCGGTAGGTTTTCATCAGCGTTTCATTTTCCCGTTACTATATCATTACTTGTATCATATCTCGTTAATCACTTCCCCTATCAAATGCGTTCACTCATACTTCGATCACTTATACCGTCTGCCTTATAAAATGACAGTGGTAACAATGTGGACAATATTTTTAACAGTGGTAAGCACATTTATGAGTGAGCTGAGAAGGTTTGCGAATTAATAAAAAATATTCATTTTATAAGGCAGGAGATGTAACAACGACGTAATGTCATCTGCCAAAAAATAACGTTATATTTTCAGATATGTCCATACGGCTCAAGCACTTCTCTCACAATAAGAAATACAATAAAATACAATAGTATCTCAATAAGATATCAGAATAAAGAAGTTGTGACTCACCTGTGCAGCGGCGTCGCCGGCCGCGGCCGCAGTCGCAGACTCCACGGCGGACTGCGGCGGCGCAGTGGGCGGGGCGTCAGCGTCGGACATCGCGTGGCCTCAGCTGCCGCTCCGGCTGTTGCTCTGGCGCCTTCCTTCTCCTCCTCCTCTCTGCTCCTCTCCGCCGCTCCGCTCCCGCTCCCGCTCCCGCTGCCGTTGCCGCTGGCGAGCGACGCCGTCTGCACCTGCGGCCCACGGACACGACTCGTGGCGACTGCGACTGCGGCGGCGGCGGTGGCGGCGGTGGACAGCGAAAGCCAGTAGCGAGGGCGAGGCGGAGGCGGAGGTGGAGGTTGTGACGTAGCGGAGGCGGTGGCGGAGGCGGGGGCTGTGACGCAGCTGCGCAAAGCGGCGTTGGTGACGCAATGACTGCGGCGACGGCGGTTTTGACGCAACGGTCGCGACTGTGGTTGTGTTGCAGGGAACGGCGCGACTCAGCGGAGGCGCCGGTGGCGCCGGTAGTAATATGGCAGCGATATTTGTAATTTGGTAGTGGTTGATTGATTGATTGTGAGTGATTGGAAGCGCGTCAACGGCTAAGGTCATTTTTCCCGTAAGTGTGGTGCGTGTTTTTCCTCGAAAAGTGGCGGTGTTCCGCCCCCCGTGGGTGGAGAGATCCGATGCCGACCTACCGTTGGCTAGCGGGGGTTTCTCCACCAGGTATCTCCCACCATCAGGGCACCGCCCTTAGCAGAGAACAAGCTCTAATCTACCGACCGGTCTCATAGCAAGTGTGATAGTGTAGTGCATGTTAATATTGGTGTGTGTTCATAGATTAGGATACGACAAGGAAGATGAAGGAAATATATCGCGTGCTGTCTGTGTGTTAGGGTTCTCCGGCATTCGCCTGGTGTTGATAGGAGAAACGACAAAAAACTAATGATCAGTGCACTCGGCCGCTAGAAATCTTCATACAACGACTGAATTCGCCCTAACTGACAAGCCAGTGTCGAAATTCCTGCCACCACTGTCGAGATTGGGACCTACGACCTCCCGGTCAGAGGCCTGCAGTGACATCAGTTGATGTCCTGAGCTAAATTGGTAGTGGTGATGGTGATAATTTGGTAGTGTTATTGGTTGAAAGTTGCTAGTAATGGCGAATGTAATTCGCTAGTGGTGTTGGTGGTAGGAGTGTTTCCGAGGAAGTGGTTAAGTCTACGACCGTAGTAGCGGTGGTTGTGACATGGAAGGGATGGACGTGACTCTGGTAGTAGTCAAAGTAGGTGGTATGGCAGCGGCTGTGGTTTTGACGTAGACTCGGTTGCGGAGACACTTTGTGTGACTCGGCGGCGATGGACAGAATGTTAGTAGCGGAGACGGTCCTTGAGGCTTGTGATAACGACTCTGATTGGCGTTAGGGTGAGTGTATTGACTACAAAGAGACAGTGCTGATTTTGATGTGGCAGTGCCGACTATGGTTGTGGCGGTGTTAGTTATTACATGGCGTCAAGGTAATAACTGTGGCAGAGCGGTCAAATACAGATATTGTCGCGATAGCAACGCGGCCTTGTTTTTATGTTGCTACGGCCATGGCAGTGGCAACAGCAACGGTGATGATTTCGGTAAAAAACAAAGTTATTACCGACAGGAGTTTGGCCATGGCTGTGTGACTAGGGTGTGTAGCTGGTAGTGGTGATGGTGACTCTCAAAGCTCCGCAGAAACGGTTGTGGATACGCGGTGGTGGCGGGATTTTGGACAGAGAAACCTCTGTTACAGACTGATCAAACAGATGGTCAAAGAGGCGGCGCGATCTGTTCCTGAAGTTGTTCCAAAGCCCGCTGCGGTCGCATTGACTAGCATTGCCTCATCAATGATAATCAGTATATAAGCTGGCATAACCCAACGGTTTGAAAACTAGAAAATATCCCCAAATTCAAAAATAGGGCACTGATTTACTATTTCAACAGATTTAATTTTTCTTGCAGTTTGGTATTCTTTTGGGCACAGCTAGCTTTAGATAACAGCGGAAACACAATGCTATTGGAGATAGAATTACGGTGACACGAATGTTTGCGATGGTGAAGAAGAGAGGATTTCGACGATCGCAGCGGCAGCCGCATCGGCCAAGGTGGCTCTCACTGAGGCGGAGACGGTTTCCGGAAATGGTGCTGATGGATACGGAGCAGAGTATCAATTGGAGTCAATGGGGCGTTTTAAGCTGGGGCAGTGAAGAACGAGATGGTGGTTACCGCGGAGGAAAAGAAAGCGATGCAAGAGGCTGATGTCTAGAAGAACATGGTGCATTGTACCTTCACACCCCACTCATATTACGGAGTTGAGAAGAAGTAGACACTGGGCAAAAGTTTCTCCTTTGTCTAATTTGATTGTTTTCCACGAGAATCGTGATATTAGGTTAACGAAAAGTGGGAGTCCTCCTGTAGCTTGTGTGGCGTATCTTGTTACTGTCCCAACCCCTTCAATCGATTGATTCTTTGGTGGTATTTTTTCGTCCTTCATTCATGCATTCTTTGATTCTTGAACGTCCGTAAAGACGAAATCGTCGTGGACCGGCCGGTGGAAAGACGTAAACAAAAAACAGTGGATGCCTGGCAGGAGGAACAGGAAGAAAGAGGCTGAGCGGCGGCGCCAGCGGGGACGGCGACCTTGGCTTCCGCCGCGGCCGAGGACACGCGCTGGTCCGCGAAGCCGCTACAATGAATGCGCCGTGGGGCTGCATGCATCCCGCGACCAGCAGTTAGACCACCTTAGTATAGGCGGTTCTATTCACCGACGTTCGGGCGCTTGCCTGTAAAATTCTAAATCCTCCCATTGCGATTGAACCCGCGTTTGGCGCGATGGCGGAGGCGCGTGTGCGCCGGGGCGTGGCGGGGCGGGGCGCGGCGTGGGGGAGGGGGGCGAGCG